TTGATTATTTTTCACTTTATTGTCATTCCCCTAGCAAATTAAAGGTAGGGGAAGCAGAGCTAAACTGGAGGAGTTACATTTAAATTTTCCTTCCATTACTGCAAAGTGTAATTAGCACTCAGAGTTTTAAATCAGACTTCTACGTCTGTTCTCAGGAGGGTCTGATGGATGATAAGCTTTTACAAACGTGGTTATTTTTACCAAATAACATTTAAAAAATAAATTTAAGTAAAACATTAAAAACATTATGCTTCATAATGGCATTTTTTGCTTCTTAAAAAAAAACAAAACTGCAATAAATAAATGAAGATGGCACAACTTTCAATTTCATGTTAAACATATTTATGTTCAACCAACTATAAACAATCTCACGCGCTAGGAATGTTTTTGCCTCTGAAAATCTGTTTTAACTGAAAATTAGTTTTCTGTGTAAGAAGAAATATTTAGTTAGCTTTTGCTCACCTGCCATGCAATAACAATGGCTTTCCTGCCATCCTTCCCATGCCACTGTGACACAACTTTTGGCCTTTTGGTGGCTGACCCAGATTTGGGCTTAGCCTGATGGACCAACCCTTGAAGAAGTTTACATAGACATTGCTCTATGTCTTACAGTCTCAGTAATTATTTTTCTGATGATTAATAATATTTCTAAATTTTCCTATATAGGAGGGATGTGTGCAAAAAGTAAGCCAAAACTGTACAGCAGGGGGAGTTTCTGAATGGGATCTAGACCTGAAATCTCATTAGCTGTCAGACATCTGCAATAGCAACCAAACATTCTGCACTGCCTAATGGAATGACTCTGGAACTGGGATTTCAAAGGGTCATACCTTTTTTCAGATACCTAATAGATTCTAATGCTAATTTGGGAAATAAAAGATTTCTGTAAATGTTAAGGGAGTTAAACATCCAAATTTCATCAGAATTTGAAGTGATCCAAAAAGAAACATATTTATCTAAAAATTTAAACTTAATTATAAGTTTACAGATTTTTAAAGATTGTCTGATTTCTTTGTTCACGTAATAAAAGGATGTCGGGTCTTTATGTTTTTAATGCTTCAATATTGAAATAAATGTTACTGCAGAAGCCTTTCCTCTGAGGCTTGAAGACAGCACTAGGTTTTGTGGCCTCTTGCCCAAGTGCACATCCTAATGGATGGGAGGACACTTGGCCTTATATTATCTCTTGGGTCATTACCCTCAGATTTTACCTCCAGTGGTGTTTATATGAGATTTCCTTCCTAAATTACATCAGCACATCAACTTCTTGATAGGCTGCTCTCTGGTTTTCCAGTGAGAAATCACCTCATACCCCAGGAGTCTAAATCCTTTCAGAGAACTGCTGCAAATTTGGCACATGTACCTTCTTTCTGACAGGATAAATAATTCAACGCAATATTCTCTGCATTATGCATTCAAGGGAGTTCAAGTCATATCTATTATTCATTGGGTGCTATTTAACCAGCTCTATCATTGACTAACTTACATTCTGTCACTTACCTTAACATTCATTTCAGCACTTAATTTATTCCTTAATGGTTATCTCATAATTACATTAACTAAAGCTGTTATATAAAGCAATGATTGCAATGTTTTGCATTTTTGTTTTTCCCTCCACCATAAAAAAATTTTAAAATGCTCTTCTACAGTTTTCTAGGCTGTGCAGGGGTCCTTAAAGGTCCAAAAATGACAGGAGGGTCATCAACATTTCCAACAGAGAGAAAATGCCTGGAAAATTATAATTTCAAGTTGAGTTTATTTACAAAATTAGATATAAAAATTACACAAAAGTGATATTAAAAAAGTCAGCATCTAAATTTCATTATTTGATTTTGTCTTTCACATTTTGAGACATAATTTTTCATGTTATAATAACCTAGGCAGAAAGAGAGAAAAATAAACTGTATTAAATACCTTGAAAATAAAACAACAGATGGCATTTAATGGGGGTTATTTTATGAAACTTCACCGAGATAAAGACAATATTTTCTAGAAGTAACTGTTTACCAGATAATTAACAAAAATTTTTCAAAGGAAGGAATCCAGAATATTTAAACCTATTAACATTTGAGAAACTGTTTCATGGGATAGTGGAAAACAGTCATCTGCAAAGGTCAAATTTAAGTTACATTCTTCCCCTGATATTTTCAACAACACAAATTTTGCCAAGAGAAGACTTGTGATACCTGTGGGATGATACAAATTTTTTTACAGCAAATAGTGCATTAGTCTTAATCAGAAGTCAGACAAGAGTCTCCGGATCTTACCCAAGAACCGCTGAATTTTTGCTACCTTGCCTTGGACCACGGTCCTGTCTTATTGGCACAGAACACGCCAGTGACATTCAGCAATATTCAGTATGGAAAAGTGTCCTCCCCTTAATCACCAGACTCAGGGCTTTGGCAATTAACTGTTCTGACTCAGTGAACAGACAGAACTTCCTGAGAGGCAGTTCTTGCTTTCTGATGGCAGACTTCTCTGGAGGATGAGTTACTCACTGAAGATTCTCTCTTTTCCACAAACTACAGAGAAAACTTATGTTGACAGCTTAAAAGACACCATATTTTAGTTACCCATTCTTGCAGAGGACTGCATAGCACAAATTCAGCTTTTCTGTGTTTCTGCCCCAGTGATATCATGGCTTCAGGAAATTTCTCATCTTAGTTAGGATGCAAAGATTTCCTTTCAAAAATTCTTATTTTAGTGATATTCAACATAGTTTCTTAAATCATACATAGTCTATCCAACCTCGGTGGGAAATATTGATGGTTACTACATTTCAGCTTATAAAACTTGTAACATTAATCAGTTTATACAAGCACTTCACCTTTGGTCGCACCAAAAGCTCCCTGAGATAGCCTGGTAACTCTGTTTTCAATGCCAATGTGGAAGTTTTCAGTGCCTTATTAGGCCATCAGTGCTAGTCACTCTTTGTGAATGCTACCTTGCAGTTACCTGGATCATATAAATATATCTATAGGGATAAAATAACTGCAAAATCAAAAGCTTCAAACATGTTAAAACAGCTCCTTAGTTGTTCAACTCAATTATAGTTGAATTATATATCCCCTTTTATATTATGTATGCATTTCTCCCCTATTGGTTTATAATTTATTAAAAAATATGTTCAACATTTTTTTATTATAGGTAAGTTTATACAGCAGCTAAGCAGAAAAATCACACCTGCAGCTCAACTGACAAATAATTTCCCATTCTTATCATATTACACTGAAAGAACATTCATTTTTATTTACTTGCAGTGAATTTTGCCATTTGTTCAGAAGACAAAGTTGTCCTGCAACAGGAACTCTCTGCCATTTGGCTGAGCAAAGAGTTCAGAAAGAGGTAAGTAGTGAAGTTCAAAGTGACATTATTTAGAAAGTTAAAAATGTGAGGGAACCTGTGGCATGAGAATTAGACTTTCCTTGCCATCAATATTACAGCTATAGTGTGTACTATAATAGTAATTCTTATAGTAAAAAAAGTGAGACTTACATAAAAAAATAGTTATTTTAAGAATTTAGGAGACAAGAATGTTATTACATCTGATGGTTCTGTGGAATGTAGCAGGTGAGTAACACTTGTGAAATAGCTTCTGTTCTTTAAAGTGTGCAGAGATTGATTTTGATGTTTTATTATGATCAAGAAGAAACGTTGAAAATTGTATGGTCCCTTGTTTGGAGACTGGGGGTGTGGAAGGTGGTGTGCAGAGGTGTAGAAATAGGACACAGTTCAGTTGCTTAAATATTGGTATCTAATATCTCTTGTGGGATCATGACTGGACTGACCCAGGGAAAGGTTTCCAGATACTCTGGTCACATGTGGGTGCCTTGCAAATCCTGGGATATCTCAACTTCCACACATGGACAACTAAACCTCTACAAGTAACTTCTTCCACCTATTTTAACACCCACTTTCAAACTGGTCCCACCTCTTGCTGTGGTCCTTAAAGGGATTCTCATCAGTCAGTTGGAGATAAATGATTCAAGTTCGGTGAGAAAAGCTATATCTAAAGTGATCTAGAGCAAAAGGATATTTCAGTGTAATCTTGAGGTTTATGTCATCATTAAAAATAGGAGCCATTATAGGGGTAGAATACCTTCATTTTTTAAATGAATTAAAACTATTATACTTATGCATGTGGAAAAATATGTATTTTAAGAATTTATGTATCACAGCTTAAATTTTAGTCTACAAGGACAGAATTTCAAGACTAGCCTTTGTACAACATTGAGTTTTGGATTAAAATAATAAATTACCAAAAGGTAAACATTGCACTTATGAACATGACCAGGAATTTCTAATTTCCAGTCAAAATCTGTCTTTATGCACAGAATAACATAGTCCCAGTGGATTTTGGAAAGTGAAGATCTCCTGAGTCTGAGAACTAAAAGAAGTAAAGTGGACACACAAGGCATCCTCTTGAACTTTGAGGTAGGTCTGAAAAGCAGACCTCTGGTGATGCTTATCTGTTCACCAGCTACCCAGCTTATCAGGCAAGCAAAAGGAAGCTAAGCATTACATCCTAGATCTCCATTTGGGATTCAAGCCTCTACAATAGTTTCCAATTTCAGATTTGGAGGATAATACTCAGAGGATGAAGTTGTTTCTCTCCATGAAAAATATAATGTTCTGTTAAAAAAAGGAGAAGGAAAGGGAGAGAAAAGAGAGATAGAGAAGGAAAATAAAGCATTAGCAAAACACCAACAAGGGCCTTAGACACACAAATCCAGCATCAAAGCTCTAGACATGTTTGATGCCAGTGGCTTATCTTCCACACTAATTTATTAATTTTGAATGCTGTGCGTGTTATACAATGATTTGTTCTGTGGGGAAGCTATCAAAGCTTAGACACAAAGATCAAAGTAAGTCTTTAATGTAAAGGAGCATGGGCAATGTGTCTGGCTCTCCAGTTTACAATGACATTAATGTAAAGGACTCTTTAGGGCACAAAGATGTAATCTCTTTATGTCACCTCCTATGTCAGGGTCTTGTGGGGACATTATGAAGAGCCCATCTTCAAAGGAAAAGCAAAGAGGTAATTTTACAGGTAACTGACATAATGCTTCTTTAAAGCTTTGATATCTCCAAAACATGATCATTTCCTTCAGTATTGCATCTCTCAAGCCACTTAGCTTTTGGAGAAAAGTTTTAGGCAGAAACATTATTGCCATGACTTAATAGGTCTATTCCTGCAGTTGTTTGTTTTTTTTTCTTCTTTTTTGACAGGAACTATTTTCTGACCTTAATAGGAAAGAAATGGAAATTACTGAAAATCAGGGAATTTTATTCTGAACTGAATCACTTTACCACCAGCAATTTATAAATTGTTGCAAAGTGTTCTAGATTCAAAATTTTCCATTTCCTGGACTCATGTACTCATCTCCTTGGAGAAAATAAAAAAAGACATTCAAATTTATTTTTAATCTACATCACTTAAAATAAGCAACATGCTGATTAATAGACATTGTTTGATGCTGCAAGATAAATGTACATTAAGTCTTACATAGATTTTTGTTATGGTTACTGAGGACTGCAAAGGATCTAACTCAGTCTAACATGCTATTTTCTGGCTCTTTTCTAGACTTCTGGATATGCAGGAAGGAAAACAACCATTACTTTCAGTACAAAAGGTGACTTGTAAATCCACACTGGGACTTTCTTTTCCCTCTTGGAGGTTTCTGCTGGCTCTAATGGTACAATTAAGTACCTAAGTTAAGCAGCTAAAAGTTATCTTCTGAAATAGATCATGAAAAATAAATAAAAATATTGTGTTTTCCCTCTGAATATTTTGGAACTTTTGCCTCATTTTAATCTCAGCCTGGTTTAGTTTCCTGATGTGTGTAATGGCATGCAGCCATGCAGCACTGCTGAGAGCTCTCTCCAGACCTGCACTGCAGCACTGCTCGTGGTACATGAGAGTTGAGAGCTCTGCTTAGCATAGGTGGGCTCTCCCACTATAGCTTCATGATAAAATAATTCATCACTTCTTTTGGGCTTCTCCTCTTTGTTTTGATGACGGTGAATAAACTGGTGTCTGTCAATAAGGAATCCAAAATCCCTGACATCTCACTGGTTTTTTTCCTGTTCATATCTGAATCTTATTCCTGCCTGCCAGGTTTCATGTAAAGTTTATTTTACTCAGGCAAATACAATTCAGTATTACAGAATTTTAGACTAAAAGTACCCTCTTTAAAATATTGATGAATAATCTTCACTGTAATTTTTATAAGCATTTTTTTTTGCTATGTATATATGTTCAGTGAAGATAAAGCCAAGGAAGTGAGGACGTTTGTGTCTCACTGACAGATTTGCTACTGCAGTGAACCTTTCCATAATTTATTTATTTATTTATTGCCCCACAAATAAGCATTCATGATAACAATAAACTGTGGTCACTATCTACATTGGACATCTCACCTGCATTCTAGACTTTTTGACTGAAGTGAATGACTAAAATTAAACTGAAAGCCTTCTCCCCGTGATCGCTCCTCCCCAGATTCAACTTCCCTCCTAATTCTTCTGCCTCTTTCCCTCTAAGCAGCTCAGAAGGCTGGGGAACAGGGGTTGTGTTTAGGCTAACACTTCATGTCTGCTGTTCCTTCCTCCTCACGTTTTTCCTCTGGGCATCAGCAGGTGCCCTTCATGACTCCCAGTCCTTTGCAAACTTCTCCAATGGGGGTGCTTCCCACAGGCTTCAGTTCTTCAAGAGCTGTTTCAGCATGGAGCATTTCCATAGGGTACAATCCATTGGGAGCAGGCTGCTCCAGTGCTGATTCCCAGAGGGTCACAAGTTCTGCCAGGAACCCTGTCCTGTGTAGGCTCCTATCCACAGGCACAGCTCTGCCAGGAGCCTGCTTCTGCATGGGCCCTCCAAGGGTGCAGCTTCCATCAGGGCACATTCCCTTTCTCCAGTGTGAAGTCCTCCAGGGATACTCCAGTGCTCCACTGGGGTCCCCCATGGAAGGATCCAGCTGGAACTGGCTCTGATGTAGGGCAGCCCCCTCAGAGGAGCTGCTTGTGCAGCCCCTTCCTCTGCTCCCAAAACCTTGCCCTGTAGCCCAACACAGGTTTACTGCAAATAGGCAGAAACCCTCAGACTCTCAGACCAGGTGCTTTAATATAAGCCCAGAAAATCTTTTTGTGTGTTCTGAGTGACTCCAACATGGGACTTGAAGAGATCAATTTGTGCTGTGCTTTAAAAGCTACTCAGTTGTGCCATGCATTTACGCTGCAGGTGTGTGTACCTATAGGTAAACACAATTAAACCATTGTGCATTTGAAACTTGTTACAGGCATCAATAAGCACCTTATTTGGATGTTTAGGGCATACCTATTCTTTGCAGATAAGTAGAATGTTTGTGCCTTAACAAGAGAGAACAAATGACTTTTTTGGATGTAGACCTCCAGTTAGAAAGATTAATTTCCATGTCTGAATCAGCTTGATAGCCAGTGTAGGGAATGATCATATCACTCGTGGATATACGAAGACCCATTTGTGACTTGGACTACTTAAATAAATGTTTCTGACATGAACAAGAAACCTGAAATGTTTCTGAAATATACCTTATATAAACGTTTCTGAAATGTACAGATACTCAGCTGTAAATTCCCTTTAAAATCATGACAGAAGGAATTTTCTGTGGTTAAGGTTTGATTTACTGCTGTATACAAATGTACAAAATTGACAGAAAGATTTTTTTTGTAAGGAACTGCTGCTCATATTACAGCACAGTCAATTTTGAACTGGTAGAGCTAACATAAATGCTCTCTTCCACAGAGTAAGCACTTTCAGGAAGAGATGTTCCTGTGCAAGTAGAGATCTCCCAACATGCCATTTATGCTTCTCCTTGGTTCAACAGTATCCCGAAGTGTTAATATTATGGATGTTTCTCTTTAATCCAAGATCTAAAGCATTATTTCAATTTATTCACACTTCCTTGGCAAGTCCAAGATTTGTGTGGAATTAATGTCCTTTGCTGTAAAGTGGTTCCATTTCTCCCAGTGGGGCAGTGCCGTGCTCCCGCCCCGGTTCCCTTTGTCTCCGCCCCTGCTAGCTCTCATCCTGGGGCGAGGGCGGGCGATGGAGGCACCCTCCGCCGCTCCCAGCTGGGGTTTGGAGAGTGCCTTTGTGGGTTCCGGGCAGCGCTGGCAAGCCTCGCGGTGGTAAATGAAGAGCGGATCCTGCTGGGGGCTAAGTCCGAGTTTATTGTAGCCCAACGGGGCCAAATATCCTAGAACGGTGCCAGCCAACAGGAACAAGCACAAGGTGCTTGCACCGGCTTATAAACTGTAAGGGAGGGGTATCCAACGACCGATGGGGATAGGGATAGGGGGTGGCTCCGGGATGGGGGGATATGGTGGGGTCCAATGGGGGAAGGATATGGGGGGAGCCCCAGGTCCTCGCCCAATCACCCGGTGCCCTGAGTAGAAGCTTCTGGATGGATGGGAAGGGGCACCGAGTGACAGACAAGGCACCCGGGGGGGGTAAAATGCCTCTTTCAGGGTGATGGATAGATACTGGAAAGGCGGGAAGGGAGGACAAGGTGGGAAAACTGGGGATAAACCAAGTTGCACACGGGGGTACAAAGGAATAAACCAATACATAATACAGGGATAATAAAACATATACATAACGCAACTCCACAGGGCAGGAAGACGTATGGGGGTTTATTGAGCATGTTTTCTTTGGGCAGATTTGCAAAGCCACGGAGAATGCCTTCATTGGTTGTTTTCAGTTTGGCTTTGCTGGAGCTCTCAAACATACCAGAGAAAAGGCAATTATAGCTGTGAAGCTCTGGTGAGTTGTATCTGTCTTTTGTTTAATCAAACAAGTGAATTTCTACAGTTCGAAGAGAACAACTGTATTGGAAAACAATCCCTCTGGCTACTTAATTTCCTGTCACACCTGCCAGCTCCTGACACTTTGCCCTGTCCAGATTGTTCAATGGTTATTCAAAAAATGAAACTTAATTCTCTTTCCCAGATATGATATGCCATTGCTGTGAGGCATCTTGTACCTCTGACATTTCAATTAGAGGGATGAAACATCAACATCTGACCTTTACTCTGGAAAAATGGAAAACTCTCAGACTCTCATGTTCTGTTTTTTCTCCTTAGCCTTTCCACATAAAAAAGAACTTCTATAATATTCACAGACATTTCTAGAAGCAAGAATAACACCATCAATGGAATTTTGCAGCCCAAGTTCTGCAGTCCTTGTTTTTCAAGGTGACCTAGGCTATCTGGAAGAGCTTATTGGGCCTGATACAAAACTGACAGGAGGCACCTGCCTTATGAAGGTAGTGGGAGGACAGGAAGCTATCCTAGAGCAGCTTGGGTAATGATAAACTAGAAACTCTCACTATTGAACAGCTACAGGCCTATGATACCTGTGTTTTACACTATTATCAGACGTGGTTTGCTCTCTCTAGCCATCAAAACATTTAGTGTCCACCGGTCTATTCCACATATATTATTCTCACACAAGAAGAGTCCTTAACTGAGTTTCTAAAGGTGCTCAGAAGAAATAATACTCAGAGCTAACATTTGCTGAAGGTGGAGCAAGAACAGAACTCCCCACTTGCTGCTCTGAGCTCCAGGAGGCACTCCAGGATTTCCACAGAGAACAAGGGGTGGAAAATTTCCATTGCCTGCACCTGAGGAAAATGCCTGCATTGAATATGGCCCATTGCAGTGAGTGAAGGACAGTTTTGGAAGCCCCTATAAGAGAAAATATGCACTCGCAATCAGATATTGGTTTGTTACTGTTACTTTGAAAACATTACTTGTTACTGGCAGTGCTAAAAAATTTCCAGTACCAAAAATAATAACTGCATTTTAAGGATTCACAGGTAAAATTTTTGTTCTTTCTAAAATAAGGTATCAGAATTCAGATAAGTTTGGTGCATTAGGTTGATTCTTGAAATTAAACAATAACTCAAAGAGATGAAAGCCCAGCTAAGTCCAGCGAAATGTGCCAGTCATATCATTCTGCCTACCCTGTACAATGAGAAAGAAACATCCATTGTCATATTTATCTTTAAAATACTAAAAGTCTTTTCTTGCTGATAGGATCCTTCGGATCTTTGCATTTGAGAAACTGGATATATTTCCTTCAAGCACCAGCAGGTCGCCCTGTTACATTCCTCATTTAATTTGCCTGTTGTTATGCCATGCACCTAGTGGGTAACCTTGGATGATCTTCCTTGTATATTTGCACACTGCAGTCCCAAAACAGATGAAGCTGTATACTGGCTTGTATGTAAAGCAGACAAAACATAGCAGGCAGGGATCATTTATGAAATCCAATTTAACAGAGCTGGTTAATGTTTGGATGCTGTCTGACTCTGTGCTGCTCATTGCAGTCTGCTGTTTTTCATGAAGTATTTGCTTAGGATCTGCAATGCAGTAAGAATCATTTTCACTTGACTGCAATTTTCTTGACATTTGTTTTAAATCCCAACACATTTCTCTCCATATATATGGAGAAAATGATTCCAACATTCTGTCAAGAGTACAACTTAGACGTGTTAATTGTTAATAAAAATGTATCTAGGGATATTAAAAATGTTAGTAAATGGATCTAAATAGATCAGATAATCGTTTTTGACAGAAAGAGTCCACCAAAGACACAGAGCAGTTTTGAGATTCATATTATTCATATCATGCCCTCAAATGAACCATTATAATGAGTTTTCTAATGGCAGATCATGCAAAGCAGTTCTTGCCCCCAAACGATGTGAAGTTGTTATATTGCAGCATGGAAACCCCACTAGATTGTT